TAGCAAGGTGCAAATTCGAGTTCCAAGTCCACCAACTTTCTAAAACAACAAAACGCAATACGCCATAAATCTAACGATATGTGAAATCTCAAAAGGACCCTCATGGCAATTCTCTCTAAGTCAGCGGCTTCTGTCGAGCCATTAAATAGATAGCTCGCCTCAGCTCTTCCGACTAACAGCGTCGACCGTCACGTCAGCTCTTCCTCGGGTAGCTAATCGTGGCAGCAGTCCTAAATGAGCGCAACTCACTTCCCAATCTTCACTCTTTTGAATTTGAACGCGAAGTTCCTCCCAGGATTCCGAAAGGAGGAAAAGAACAAAAATTTACGATGAACAAAATTTAGAATAAGGACTGGTCTGCACTACGTGATGTGCTTGCTTCTGACTCGACTATCCTCCATAAAAGGCTTCTGCATAATCTTTTAAGGTGGATTAAAAAACACTCCATCTTCTTATTGAACCGAATTGTGCTGGCTTCAGTTCATGTGCGTTTATCTCGATGCCAAGCGCGAATAATTATTGTCCCCCTCTTGGTTAGGTTAATCACAAAAGTGGCGATAGAAAAAATTTTGCCCTCAAGTCTTCGTGATATTTTAGCGATGGCATTTGAACGAAACTCTCATACTTCGCAAGAGAATAAAGATAAGCAGAAACAAAGAGATGCTTAATCTCACTTAAAATCAGGTTTTTCAAAACAAAGTCAACTCCCAACATAAGATAAACAAGAATTAGCTAAACTTCAAGAGAAGCGAGTTTTAAAGTTGGGAAACTTAAAATAGTTTACACAGCGAATAAAAAGTAGGGGAAGATCAAGCAAAACCCTCAAAATATGAAAATTGGATAACTAAAAGAAGCCTCAAGTTAGAACTTAACTCTATATCGTTAGAATTCAAGTTCATACAGCTAAGGTTCGCCACTCATCTAGAGTTCCATAATGTTTAAAAGTAAGAAGATAAATTCCTAAGCCCCGGTTTACATCTCATAATATCATAATACTTCACATAAGCAATTCAAAATTTACTCAAGTATTCATACCTGAGTTGGCGCGGCACGACGGAAGCGAGTGGTCATAACTATATCATAGTATTCAATTATTTCTCAGAGTTCACAAAATTCGTACATACCAGTCTACAGAAACGCAGACTGGCTCTGATACCAAACTGTAACGCCCCACTTTTATTTGTCGAAAATCAGAATAAGTTTTTCAAATTTATTTCAAAACACCTGAGGCGATACTCATTTTCAAAACGAACTTCAATACTTAACCAATTTTCTCAATAGTCAATCAACCATCAAACTGAATCATCTATCATCAACAATATTACTAACTCCCCAACGGGTTTTCCAAAAATTCATAAATCCATAAATTCTCATTTCACCCAAAACGGGTTCCCAAAATAAATCTCAAGTTTTAAGACATGACAATGTCAACGGGGCATCTCCCCAATAGTATCTCAATACTTCATAAATTCTCAAGTTCGAAAATGCATAAATCGTAAATGGTCATAAAGATAGCGGAAGCAAAATCATTTAATAACTGGTCTCACAGACCGACTACCACTCGCTCTACTCCGTCGTCGTACCCGACTTGGTTAACCTGAAACGTGAATTTCAGGTGGGATGAGCACAGTTGGAAATCGTAGTGCACACCACTATGCAATAAACATTTTCATAACAGTAACATGTGTACATCTATACCAATAGACTACTGCTGGTCCACGTATCGTATGCCTACTTAGGCCTCACGTATCGTATGCCTGCTTAGGCCTTACGTATCATATGCCTGCTTAGGCCTTATGACACTACGTCTATGCCCCTCGGGCTTATACACCGAATGCCCCTCGGGCTTCTATTGGTGCCTAGTCAGTAGGAGTAACCCCTCTGGTTTTCATTTCATAAATACGGGACAACCATTCGACGGCCCGTATAGCTCACATCAAAGGCTACAGGATTCGTAAGCATACATTGATCATATACAAGTAAGGTAGACAATTTATTGCATAGACGATTTTAGAATAACAACCCACCTGGTAAATCGATAGAAAAGGCACACAAACAAGTCGGTAGGTCGAGGGCTCAACTCCTCAAACACCTACATTAAGTCCAGATGCTATAATCAACATCTATTCTGACTTAAACGGAAATCACAATTATTCTTAGCCGAACTTGATTCGGCTAAGTTGTTCGTGACGTCCTGTGGACGTTGGAACACTTAGACTCGACACTAAGACTCGACCAAATACACATGGGAGTTCACATAATCCAAAACAAAGATTGACCAAGTCAAATGAATAAAGAAACGAAAAGCGAGCCGATTTACAGTTTTTAATTCAAAAATCGTATATTTGAAAATACTAGATTTTAATCACAAATATAAGTTGGCCAGGTTATCAAATGAGTTTAACTCTGAAATTTCAACCAAATTTCCACCTCCAAGAATTAAGCAATACTACCAATTTGCAGCCCCAAACTCTAAGTGTGCTATTTTATAAAATTCGAGCAAGTTTATGGGAAAAACGAGCATGAATTAGCAACCAGATCAAATGAACGATTCATACTCCGAAATATTTATCTAAGGAACCTCAGCATGTACATAGCAGTGTGTAAAAATATCAGCCTTAAACTTCTAACCTGCGATTTATTAAAATTGCCACAACATTCAGCTGTTTTTAAATTTCAATTAAAACCGAACCAAATTTAACTCCAAAAATTCTCATCTTTTAAGAGCATGAAATTAAACATAAAACAAGTAGTCCAGCCAAGAATCATAATTTTCCAGAAACAGATCATTTTTTCAAAATTAAAACAATTTGTGGAAGAAACACAAAATAATTTATTTACCTAAGTTAACAGAGTCCAAAAGTTATGAAAATCTAACACGTCCTTTAAAACAAACAGGAAAACAACATATTCGAATTTCAGCAAATTTCGAGCACTACACAATTTATTATGCAATTAAAATAAAACTAATCAGAAATTTTTTTAATTTATTAAAATAGCTACAGACCTTCTAAAGTCATGAAATTTATACCCCATATATATTTTCAAACGAGGCAATTACCCTCAAAATTTCAAGGTAAACGGACCAGCGAGCAATTTATTATGAATTTAACAAATATTCGGCAGCTAGCACAGTTCGAAAAATCATAAAAAATTCAATACTCGACAAATTCGTCCAAGGCCTTCACCATAAGATCAAGGACTCAACAATGTTCCATTTTCCACAGTCCTATACACGAATAACGAGGTCTCATTTGATTTCTCAAAATCGACGAGTTCGTCTACACACATTCACATATATATCGAACCAATTTCAAACTCATGAACACAAAATTAACATAGGCATATTCACATGTATTCGATAATCACATTCAACATAAATGAGACAAAAATTAAATGAGACGGGGCGAGCTTGTACCGTTCTTGGAAATCGATCGAAAACGGAACGAACGGTTCGAACGGACACGCGGCTCACGAAGGAGAGGACAGGGGCTCAAGGATGGCTGCTCGCGGCTGCTAGATAGCTGTCGGGGTCCTCGTCGTCACTGTTGGTGGCCTGCTCGTGAACGGAAGGTCGCCGGAGGTTGCTGAGCGTGAGAGGTCACGACTGGAAGTTCGCTGGCGAGAGAGAGGTCGAGGTGTTGCAGCGTTCGGGAGTCGCCGGAAGCAGGTTCACGCGAGAACAATGACGGGAGAGGATCGCGGGGGTCATCTTCTCGGTGACGGGGCCGACGGAGGTGACTGGTTCGCGTTCAAGGGAACTCGCCGGAAGCTTGGCTGGCCGCGGAGTGATTTGCAGATAAAGGAGAGGGATCGGAGATGGTGAGGTTGACGAAAGGCGAGGGTGATGATGACAAACGGTGAGAGGATGTCGATCAGATGGGAGACGAGGGAGGAGACGATCAGATTTTGAGCGAAGGATTTTTGGATCGATTTTCCCTGCTTCTGGAAACGATCGATATCGAGAGAAAACAGAAAAAAAAAAGAAAAGAAAAGGCTGCAGGTGTGATATTGATCTGATATGAGCGAGACAAAAATACATAAAGCTTAGGGTTATTGTCTTGATCCACAAGACACACTTAACACACACACGCGGGTCGGGCGGACCGGGTTCGCGGGTCAGGGCTGGTTCAATGAAACGATTCGGCTCTCGGGCCCGACTAGACGTAAAATTAAATCGGTTCGGCTCGAAAATTAAGTCACACGACAAAATAGATAAACCAAATATTATTTATACTAATAATACACACAATTAAATATACTGGATATTATTTACATTAATAATACACACAATTAAATATAACATAATAATATTAATAATAATACAAATACACACATTTTATTTAAATAATAATAACATTTAGAAATTTAAACATTTAATCGCAAATTTAACAGATAAATCATATAGACAGCTAATAGTATTTAACATTCAATCAATAATAATAACAACAACAAATAAAGGCAAATAATAATAATAAAAATAAATATAATAATTCTTAAATATTCAATAATTAAACGGGGCATTACAGGGGGACTTGATGATATGGGATATTATATGCCTGAAGAATATTCTAGTTTGTTGGGCCGGTCGAACAAGCCCAATATTGGAAATGCTACATCAGTCGAGCAATAGCAGGCTGAAAGAAAGTGGTCGAGCACCGGAGAGGACCTGGTCGAAGATCGACCTACCAAAGGAGAACTTATTTGATCGACCACCAGACGAGTGAAGAGCAATCGGGGATGTGGTGTGAACGCGAGAAAGCACGTGGACTTCGTCAGAAAATCTCAAAGGAATATTCAGAGGAATAATTACTCTCTATTCAGAGGGGCAGGTGGCGAGAAGATATTGATGCAGAGCAATGGTGGCGATAACCAATGTCAGGAAGAAGACGAGTCAATTTAAAGTCGGTCGGAGTGTTTTGCGTTACCAATGACATTAAATCGAGTGAAGAGGAACGCGGCAGGAGTCTGTTTGGTAAAATTGTGGGCGTCCGGTGAGTATGATGGGCGTCAAGCGTACTATGACCGCTATAAGGAAGCTCCAGCAAGCCATAGAAATAAAGGAAATCAGTTCGAACTTTTTCCAGTTCATATTTGCATCGCAGGATGATAAAAAGAAGGTGGTTTGTGGGCATAATTGGTTGTATGAAAACTAGTATCTGATACTTCGGGAATGGTTCCAAGGAATGCATAAATCGCACAAATGCTTTGATGAGAGTATGATCTGGGTGCAGGTGCTAAATGTTCCTCTAAATTGGATGAGTACGGAAGTAGGGATACGTATTGGGAAGATTTTCAATGGTGTTAAGAACGTGGTTATATGTAAAATAGTGGGGGAACAAGGAAGCTTCATCAAACTCTTGGTGGCTCTCAGCCTAAAAGAACCAATTCCCAGGTGTACGTCTGTGAAACTTGGAGACCAGCGGGTTTTGGTAGCCTTTAGATTTGAACGACTTGTTAACCTCTGTTACTACTGTAGAAGGATTGGGCATTTGGATAGGGGTTGTGGACGTAGAACATAAGATATTGATAAGAATGCGATGGTGGAAGGTCAATACGGGGAATGGCTCAAAGCATTAGAAACCTATCCAGGAGGCCGATTTAACTATGCTAGTAGTTCTGGTGAGAAAGGTAGTCATCCAAACAATCAGTTCCATCATGAATCTTTGTTGTAGGCTAACACAACTCCTAGTAAGGGGGTTCAGCTGCAGAAGGAACAAAAGGTCACTCTGATAGAGGAGCAAGGCAGTGATGTTATGGCAGATAGCCAGATTGGAGGGGAGGAAAGGAAACTGGATATAGTTGCTGCTAAAGATTATTCTCCCATGGCTGACACACTGAAGGTAGTTGATAATTTAGCTGAGAAATCAATAGAAGTAGAGGATACAGAAAATTTCATAGTAGCTAAAGCTGGGTTACAGCTAAGGGCCACTCAACATGGTGGAACCAAGAGGAGATCATCATGGAAAAGGAAAGCAACTCAAGAGGGGAGGCTAGTGAGGATGTCTGAGCTGCACCTAAGGGATCCTTCTAGTCTGGTTGATATTAAGCATGAAAAGGCAGGTTCTTCATCAAAGAGGTACAGAGAACTTGTTATATGTTCTGAGGGGAAGACAGATAAAGAGGAGGAAACACTTGAGAAAAGAAAGAAAATTACCTGTGTGGAAAGTGAGGTGGAGAAGGCCAGCCTAAAATGGCCCCAAGGTGACCAATGAAGGCCATGGTGTGGAACTGTAGAGGGCTGGGTGGGCCCTGTACAGTTTCCCAAATCAAGGACTCCAGAAGAGTCCACCACCCAAATGTTACTTTTTTATCTGAAACAAAAAAAAAAATAATAAAATAAAATCATATGATTTTACCAGAACTGTGTGCAACAAGCTGGGGTTTGACAGTAGATGGCACTTGGTGAAGCCTAATGATACTAAAGTGGGATTGCTGTTTATGTGGGATTTGGAGATTGTGGTCAGGAAGATTCTGGGCAATGAATTCTGCATTCAAATGGAAGTGAAAGGGGAGGATTTAGAGATTGGGGTTGGTTGATCTTTGTTTACTTAAGTACAGAGAAGCATATTAGGGAGATGCAATGGGAATTTCTGGTAGGGTAATAAACAGCATTGGGGTAGTTCTTGGCTTATTGTTGGGGACTGGAATGATATAATTAGCAACGAGGAAAAACGGGGAGGCAACATGAGGTTGGAATCAAGCTTTATTGGTTTCATTGAAGATATGGAAATGAAGGAAGTGGATCAGAAGGGTGCTTTTTTCACTTGGGGCAACAATAGATTCAATGATGGATATGTGGAGGAGCGGCTCGATAAGGTTTTTATCTCATGGGAGTGGCTCTTAAACTTCCTAAATATGGAGGTCTCTAATTTTTACAGAACATCATTTGACCATAATGTGCTGCTATTTAATACAGACGTTGAGATGTGTAGAAGGCGGAAAAGGTTTATCTTTGATAAATCATGGCTGAAAATGGAGGGGGTACATGAAGCTGTTCAAGAGGGATGGCAGGTTACAGTGGCTGGTTCTCAGATGTACCAGGTGCACCAGAAAATCAAACACACCAGAATGGCACTTTTGTCCTGGTTCAAGCCTATCCACAAGAACAGTGAGCAAATTATCAAACATATTAGTCCTATGATGAAGGAAATGAGGAAAGAAGGCCAAGAGATGGACTTGGAGGAAGGGGTGAGTTGAAACCTAAGCTGGATGAGGCTCACAAGGCAGAAGAATAGTATTGGAGGATGAAGTCCAAGGTTATGTGGCTTAGGGAAAGAGACTCAAACACCCGATTCTTTCATGCTTACACAACTCAAAGAAGAAAGGCCAATTCTATTCAATAATTGATTTCCACTACTGGGATGATCTATGATACTCAGGAGTCTATGGTTGCACGTATGTCAGAATTCTATTCATCATTGTTTGCTTCAAAAGGTTCTAGTGGTGGGTCAGAATTTCTGCAGCATATTTCTCCATCCATTTATGAGAACATGAATCAAGAGTTGATTGAACCTGTAGAAAAAGAGGAAATAAAAGCAGTGTTGTATAAAATGGATTCAGACAAAGCCCCGGGAGAGGATGGTATGTCAGTTTCTTTCTTTCAAATCTGATGTCTGTTGTGCTATCAAATCCTTTTTCTCTACTTGTAAGCTGCTTAAAAATTGGAACCACACTGTCATCACACTCATCCCTAAATGTTTATATCCAGACTCTTTAGGCAACTATGGGCCTATTTCCTTGGGTGGGGTGTTGTATAAAATTATAGCTAAACTGCTAGCTGACATGCTCAGAGTTTGTCTTGACTCCTGTGTTAGCCTTTCTCAAACTGCATTTGTGCCTGGGAGGAACTTGCTTGACAATGTGGTTATTGCCCATAAAGTGTTTCATTTCCTTCATAGGCACAGATCAGGGTCAAATGTTTTTATGGCAGTAAAGCTTGACATGGAGAAACCATATGACAGAGTGGAGTGAGATTGCCTCAGACAAACAATGTGTAAGATAGGGTTTCATGGTTCATTTATTAAGTGGATCTATAGCTGCATTTCCTCCCCTACATTTCTTTCAATCTGAATGGTTCTAATTGTGGGTTTGTGAGAGCTTCCAGAGGCCTCAGACAGGGTGATCCACTATCACCTTATTTATTCATTTTGGTGTCTGAACTTTTCTTTGTCTATCTTCAACACAAAATCTTTATTGGCCAATTCCAAGGTGTGAAAGTTTCTAAAAGGGGTCCTATGATTTCTCACTTGTTGTTAGCAGATGATGCATTAATTTTTTGTAAAGCTGATGTCAGACATGCTCATCTTCTATTAGATATTCTGCGCAAATATCAGAGATTCACAAGGCCAAAAGTTAATTTGCATAAATCTTTTATGTTTCTGAGCAAGAATTGCAGTGATGAATTGTAAGATAATATTTGCTCTGTTCTCAGAGGGGTAGTTGTTAAAAGATCCTCCAAGTACCTTGGCCTACCTTTGGGTATAGGTGCCTCTAAGAAGGATGCTTTTCAGTATGTTGTTGACTCTGTGAGCAGCAGGATTGGTAGCTGGAAAAATAACTTCCTCTCTACAGCTGGTAAGGAAGTATTAATTAAATCTGTGTTGCAAGCTCTTCCAGTGTTTGTGATGTCTTGCTTCTTGTTACCTGTGGGTTTGTGCAAAGACATAAGCAGACTCATGTCCCAGTTCTGATGGAACAAAAGGAATGCACAGACCAACAGTTTACACTGGATGTCCTGGGATAGACTGTCTACACCAAAAAGTGAAGGAGGGCTGGGGTTCCATGATCTTAAGGAATTCAACAAAGCTCTTATCCTCAAAAAATTATGGAGGATGATTTCCAGCCCTGATTTGTTGGTATGCAAAGTGCTTAAAAGTAAGTATTATCCTCAGAGTTATATCTTTGATTGGCTGAAGTCTAGTGGAGACTCCTGGCTTTGGAAATCTGGGTCTTCTCTGCTACCAGCCTTACAGTCCCAAATGAGTATTCTGATTAGAAATGGTGCTTTCACTAAGTTATCTGATTACAACTGGATTCCTGGGTTGATGAAGAAGAAACCAGAACTTAAGCTGCAGATTGATGGGTATATGTTTTGGGTGAAGGATCTATTGTGTGCAGGTGGCAGCAGCTGGGATGTCAACTTAGTCCAAGCCCAAATTACTGCTGCGGATGCCGACAAAATACTGCAGATCAGACACTTGAATCCTAGGGCTGAAGATATCTGGAAATACTCATTTGTCATAAAAGGAAAATTCTCAATTAAGAAGGCCTATGCTGATCTGATTGCCCAAAAGGTGAGGAGTATAGTAGTGGCAGAAAGTAGTCTGATGGCAGGTGGCAATAAAAAAGCAAGGAATAGATGTTGGGACCTGAAGGTGATGGGCAAAGTAAAACATTTTATTTGGCAATGCTTCTCTAACCTACTTCTTGTGCAATGCAATTTGAAAGCTATGGGTATGGATATTGACATTGTCTGTAAAATGTGTGGGGAAGAGGAGGAAACCCAAGAGCATATTTTTTTCAAGTATAGCAGAGCCATTCATATCTAGAAGTTTGCTCCTGTCCAATGGAACAAAATCCACCAGGATAAACTCAGTGTTAAGGAATGGTGGTGGTGGATTTGTACCATGAGCTCCAAGGATACACCAGAGGATAGGATCCAGTTGTCAACCTACATACTTTGGTGGCTGTGGAAAGCCAGGAACATCTGGATGTTTGAGAAACAATGGATGCCTAGTGAGTGGGTAACTAAATCTGCTATGAGGGACTGGATGGATTTCTCAGCTTACAACTCAAGAGATTAGAGTGGAAGGAAGGGGACTAACTAGGTCTCGTGCTAGTGGTTTGTTTTCTTCCTTGTGCTTTGAGTTTGTTTATGAGTTGTATTATGTTCTGTCAGTTCATTTCCAGTGATTATGTTGGTTGGTTGGTCAGGATGCTTTGTTTTAGTTAGTCTCGTCTAGGCTGCATGGTTATGCATGGCCTCCCAATTGTATTTTCCTTATTTGAGTCTGATGTACATTCCCATTATGTGGCCGTTGATTATTGAAATTTTGATGTCGTTGGAAAAAAAAAAAGAGTGGGTAACAACCTAGGTCCGTATGATTTATCGCCTGTGTCGAGGCCAATGTGTCCTTAACCCAGGTTCCGGTGGGAATATAGTATGACTATTATCCCATCGGAATGTGCAAACGATACCGGCCAATGTGTATGAAAGTAGTAATAATTCAGTTATATTTATATATGCCAGTTTTATCTCAGTTATATGCATATATGCCAGTTCTTGATGCTATGATTATTACTGATGTTATTATGGGTTTCTACAGAGTATCATGGTTATGTACTCACGTCCCATTATTTATGATATTTCGGGAAATGGAGTCAAGCGTGGAGGTTGAGCAGAAGTGGTGGTGGCCAAGTCCAGATGACTAATAAAGAACATTTTTATGTTTTGTAATAAATTCTGATACACGATGAAACATATCTACGTTTACGCTATCTTTAAATTTTTATATTGTCGAATAATGCACGATCCCAGTATTTCCATATACAAATCTATCCCTATGTGTGCTTTAGATTGGATAATTAATGAACTATTTGACAATATAGTTTTCTTCTAAAAACCTAAACCAGTATCTTAGGTCTATTTGAAAGAGAACGAATTTCAGTAAGAGAAAGAGCAACAACCCAAGATAAATTAAGTGTATTTACTCTGATTTCAAGCGTATTAAAAGCGGGGTGTTACAATTTATTTCTGGAGAAGCAAAATTAAAGTTTGGGAAGTTTTTCCTAAGAGCTTAAGGAGCGACTTAAGCTACGTTTAAAAGAACAGTAAGATTGTTCAGTGCTCAGGAGGAGTTATGAACTAAAAAAAAAATGTTCTTAAAAGTTTATATTATTTTTAAAAAATTAGTGTTTTCTAAGGAAATGTATGCAGACGCTACACCCTCCCTCAAATTCTGAAGCTACTGATACATAGTACGAACGTAGTTAAAAAGATGAAACTCACGCTGGATGTGTTTTTTGAACTTATCCCATGATGAGACCTTTTGTTTCCCTTGTAGCCGTCGTGTTTGTTTCTGATGTTGCCACCATGCTGCCGCTTGACCGCGTAGACGTGTGGTGACGAGGCCCACCCAACGATCGTCTGGCACCTCCTTGTAATCAAGGATAGATTCGACAATGGCCATCTAATAGTGGAACTCGACCGCGTTAAGATCCCCTGTGAACTCTGGGATGTCGATGCAGAATGCGGCATCTGTGGACGTTGTTCCCGTCCTTGTCCCGTCGACCCAGGTGTATTTAGAATGGATATATTCACCTCGGACACCGTATCGGCGTTGTAGTACTCCTCATCGTCGAACGGTGGTGGCGAACATTGGCGGAGCGCTCCACCGAAATCTCATCCGCCTCGATCATCGTGTTGTCCACCGCGACGACCCCGTCCACTGACAAAATCGCGGTTCGTTTGCTCGCCAGGAACCATTGTAGCTATAGCCAGACAAATGTCCTGGATCCCCGTCGAAAGGTCCGCAATCTAATATCCATCGTCTCGATGGTGGCGTCACTCTTGTTGTTGGCATTGTTTCATGGCAGAGGCATCATGGATCATGTAGCTGGGCTCTGGATACCAACTGATGTAGCAGAAGCGTACGAAGGACTCGAGGGTATAAACTCACGATAATTTGTATTTTTATATCAATGTCAACTCCCTAATCTTAAAAAATTCACTCATTTAAATACAATTTTAGTCTTCATTTGACTTTTTCTTCCTCACCCAAGACTAACCTCTTAGATTTTCAATACTAGTCCTTGTTTTGAATGACGCTTTGATTACATCACTATTTTTAGATTGATCACTTAGTTAAAATAATAATAATAACAATAATAATAAAGGTTATGCACAATTCAAATAATGCAAAATTCATGCATGAATCCGACGTCGCTCGTATTTGTCCATGAACGCTAAGGCGTTCTCGTCTCCATCAATTGCTATGGAAATTAATTGTAATCCGTTTTAAGGAAGTTTTCGTAGGAAGTTCCTTTGAGTGTTTCGTGGACTTGAATGAAGTTGGCTATTTGTTTCGGGAGAGGGGCAGTGTGTATCTTGAGCTGAAGGCTAGTAAGATTTTGTTGTGGCAACTTCAAGAATTCTTGCACATCCACTAGTTTCTGTAAACAAATATATAGAAAAGCAAATACCAAAAACACTTTGATTTAATGAAGTAGATGTAAATGGTTTTGGTTTTTTTTTTTTTAATTAGAATAGAATGAGAAGTTGATGCTCAACCCAGAAAGGTTATCATATCATACCATTCGATTTGCAAGTATGTTTTCATAGTATAAAACAATGTGTCGAGTGCTTTTGAAGCTCTCCAAAGCTTTTGTAACTGTTTTCTCTGTAGACCTCAATGTAGATACAAGTATTGTAACATTGACAGATGGCTTATATCCTGCTAGTATTTGAGCCTGCATTCAGTGTCAACTATCTCAAGAATCAATAGGGATATTGATGCGAAATAGAGGAAATTAATTATTAAAGATGAAGAAGTACCTCATGTGGTGTATGGGCATGGGATTTGTGGGTACCATTCAATAGTTTGGCCTCTTTGTCATATTTATTAGCAAGCAAGGAAACCATCCGGCGGAGTAGATTTCTCCTGAAAAGAAATATAATGGAGACTCCTCTTCTCATCAAGTAATTTGCTATGTCTTTGTGGTACTCCATCAATCCCTTGAAAGAAATAACTAATCATAATTATTCTTGTTCCTTTAAGTCAACGTATTCATGCAAGACATATTTGTTTTCAGGCAAAATTGCAATTTTAGTCTTGTTGGTTTGATTCAGTAGCATTTTTAGTTCTAAGAATTGAACATTTTACAAGTTGGTCCTATAATTTTAAAATTCAATTCAATTTCAGTCCTTTTGGGGCTGGAATTGCAACTAATTTAAAATTTCAAGACTTAAATTGTTAATAAAAATATCTTTGGTATGGATTTTTGATTATCAATTTAAGTTCTGCAATTTTAAATTTTGTTGCAATTTCAGTCCCAAAAGAATGAAATTGTAGCAAAATACTAAATTACATGATCAAAAGACAAAAAATTAAAATTTTGGGGTTAAAAATGTTATGATCTTAAATCAGCAGGATTAAAAATGTACTTTTGCCTTGTTTTTACCTGGTTTAGCATCCATTTGAAACCTACAGCAGCCGAGCACTGGTTCTTAGATGCACTACTAAGCCAATCAAGGTTGTACACCTTGTCTAGTGTCTTATAGATCACTGAAACATTCTTCCTCCTATCTCGCAGTCCAAATATTTCTCCATTCGAGCTCAAATTTTTGTGACTATTTAGCAATGTTTCGAACCATCCACTCCCCGACCTTTGCATGGACACGATCGCAAAGAATCGCACCGGATTGCATGCGCATTCCTGCCTAAACTTATACAAACTCACAATCACTTCCTTAAATGGCAAATTACCAATTTACAAATAAGGAAAAATCAATAATTGTATAAACATGATTATTGAAGCTGCAATAAATAATTCTTTTATTTTTATTTATCAATACAAAAGCTACCATCGAGGTTTAAGCCAGCTAATTGCTAAAGAAACTGATTTTTCATCCATACAAGACATTCGAAGGTGTGAATCACTTTTCCCAAAGTCTACTAAACAAAATAAAATTTAAATGGATCTAATTAAAAAAGTATCTATTGCTTCTCTAGATGAACTTCAGTGATTCTCTTAATCCAAAAACATATTTTATACCAACCATTAAACACCTCAATTAGTATCTAGCAAGTACTAATTAATATGGCAAATGGATTTATACATTAGGATATCGTTTGAAAAGCGTATTCTCGTACGTTTAGGCACTAGAATTAAATATCCTTCCTTCTTTATAGTATTAATTTATACAATAGCGGAAAAATTAGATGAGATTAAAGGTTGAACGACAATGACAATCTAGATCATCTATTCCATTTAGTAATTGATGTTATCATGTGCATGTAACGTATATTATTGTAGTCAAAATCTAGGATAAGCCACTCAATAAATTAAAGGTCGCGCCATATATGAACCCCACAAACCGAAAAATTATATCCCCAAAAAAAAAATAAAAATAAAAAATAAAAAATGGAAAGTTGGTGGTTTTAACCTGCTAAAGGTTTGAGGTATAGGAAAATGTACATAAGGCAACTCTTGTTCCTCTATTCGTGAATTTCTACAAGCTCGATTTTGCCGATCGACTGCTTGGATTTTCAGAGGATTAATCTCTCTAATAGTATCTATTTGCTTTATATAGATTGAGAAAATGTATAACCCACAAACCACGGAGAAAAGCAGGATCACCATTCTTAATATCAATGGAGACCTTTTAGATGCCTTTGTCGCCAGTATATCCTGCAAAGACTTCTTCATCAGAAATAATAACAATGAAATCGTTTAAATATGTGAATGATAAAAGATAATAAAGGTTTTTAGGGGCATGCGTTTCAAAGTAATTCTGCAGAACAAAACTTATGAGCATTAGAAATTTCAAGAGTTCACCTGTGGCTTCCATCTCATAATTTCCATGAATAGTGTAAAGAAATGTAATTAAAAAACAAAAGAAAAAAAAGTAGGGAGAAGCAAATTTTACCAATTGATTATTCCTATTAGCTAGCTGTAAAAAGGTTTGTCTTGTTAGAAAAACAAGGAGAAAGAAATGGTCAGAGTGGCCTGTCTTAGAAAAAAAAAAAGTAAGAAAATCAAGCATGACAAAGTATGAAACATCATCAAAATAAGCACTCCATAGTGAAACTCAAAGGGAAAATTTTGTTCTAAGAGCGTCTTTGTATATAAATATATCCGCTCGAAATGGTTTTTTTTTTATTACGGTTAATTTTGAAAAAAATTGTATGATAAGTTGTTAGTGAAATTTTGATTTCATATTAAAATAATATTTAAAATAAAATAATTAAAGTTGATTTGATATAAAAGTATGAGAGATTTGATATTAAGTGATGGTTAGTTAATATTATGTGAGTGGATGAATAGTGAATTAGAGTTGACGTAATGTGTAAAAATGATTGGTTGATATTGTTTAATTATATTGATTATATTAATAACAATGGGGTTGTTGAGTTAAATTTAAGTTAGATTTTGAGTATATATCGAGTGTGCATTGAGTGTATTAATGTACAAACACACCTAACACAAACTGCATAAATAATTTAGACATTGATTAATTGAAACCAGAAATTAATTATCAAGAACTATTTTTTTTTTCTTATATAAAAAAAAAAGTTTGAAAGAGTTATATTTTTGGCAATGAAGTTCAAAAATTAATATAAGTGAAGATATATTCTTGCAAGCATGAGAAATAAAAAGGGAAGTTCTTTTATTTATATTTATATTTATATATTCGAATTTATTTATATTTATATTTATATATTCGATTTATATACATATATATTAGATTTGCATGATCTTATTATGGATATATTTTGTAGGAAATCATATAAGAAGGAAAGATCTTTGGAAAGAGAAGATAGAGATCTACACCTACCATATCTCTTATGATTTACATGGAAGGAAATTGGATTAAAGAAGCATTGTTTGAAGTGAGAGAAAGAAGAGTCCTAAACTTGGAAGGAAATCAAAAAGGAGTCTTGTACTTAGAGAACATTCCACCCTAAGGAGATTGTATATATACCTGCTTGAAGATCGAATTTGGAGAGCTGAGAGCATTATCTTCTATTCCATATTCGAGCTGCAAGCCTTTTAGGTTTTATTTTCGTTGTTCAGTTTTTGGTGTTCTTACGTCATCGAAGAACTGAGGTCTTTTCTTTTGATTCTTTTGTTTTTCATTCAAACACTTGTGTGATCAGTGCTTAGGAATTAAGTACTGTATGTAGCTCGAGGGATTCGAGAGGTAAAATCCACGGGACGTGGTCGGAGAAGTAGTTGATAGAATCGTGTGTAGTTGTGGCTAGGCTAGAAGGGAATTCGAGTCGTGTATGTCCAAACTATACAAGTGTGCACAAACAGTTTATCAATGAAAGAGCTCTGAGGGGAAGTGGGACGCTTCCCTGAAGAGTTCTTAAATCTTCGGTTTATTGCTTCCGCTATTCTAGTTGTTTATTTGTGTTCTAACAACGTTGAGCGCACTCGTTACAAAATACCTACGTTTCAATTGGCACCAGAGCAGTGTTCCTGTTCTACTTACAGGATAAAGATCTTTGGGTTCTTGGGTTGGTTACCATGATTCATGACGGCATGTCCGTTTCGCGCCCTCCGTACCTCAACGGTTCTAACTATGGATACTGGAAATCCATGATGGTGATATTTATTCGCTCTTTGGGTAAAGGAACCTGGCAAGTCATTGAGTCAGGATGGACCACACCACTCATGCCGAAAGCTCCCTCAGAATCAAAGTCATCAACCTCGACTGCTCATGTTCTAGTCGAGAAACCAAGGGATCTTTGGACTGATGTTGAAAGACAAGCAGAAGAAGCAAACTTTCGTGCATTATATGCTATCATGTCTGCTGTAGATCCAACTCTCCATAAGATGATCATCCAGTGCACCACAGCACGTGATGCATGGAAAATTCTCGAGAGGCAATTTGAGGGTACCAACGCCGTGAAGTCTTCCAAGCTCCAAATGATTACCACGGAGTTCGACACTATTTGCATGAAGGATGATGAAAATATTGATAGGTACTATGCACGCTTTTGTGATCTCGTTAACTAAAGTGCCATGCATAGTGAGCAAATTTCTGAGGCGAGGCAAGTGCAAAAGATCATGAGGACCCTTGCCAAACGATTCCGTGAAAAGATCACCGCACTTGAGAGCTTTCAGCGAGTCGAGCCTCTTGGTCTCGATGACTTACTTGGAGAACTTCGAACCTTTGAAACCAATCGTGGTTATGATAAGATGGGAATAAGCAAAGGCTTAGCCCTGAAAGCCAATGTTCCAACACAGGCTGATGACGAAGAGGATTCTGATGATGAGTCTCTTGATGCTGAAAGTATTGCTAAGGCTTTGGATGTTCTTACACGCCACTTCTCTCAGTTAAAGAAGAAAAAGGAGTTCCAAGGGAAGAAGCCTACTGACTTCAGTAAGAACATCAATCAGCAGTCTGGTGAACGACGTTCCAACTCACATTATCAGAAGACTCAGAATCAGGACGTAGAGAAGAACCAATGCCGTGAATGCAAGGGATTTGGACACTTCCAGAAAGACTGTCCGAATTTCACGAGGAAGAACAAAACCTATCCAGCCACGTTGGATGATGACCAGCAACACACGAACAAATTTTCCGTCACTTCTCTCAATAACTTCACGTGTTATACAGCCTCTCATAAGCCTTGTGATGTCGATTCAGGTATGTGTTCTTACACGTATAATTCTCATAGTAATTCTGATGATTCTGGAGATGGTTCTGTTGAAGTAGATTTGGCTACCCATAAGCTTGCATTAGAGACGAGCATCAAAGCTGGAAAAATGGTGAAAAAGCTACAAGCTCAAGTCGAGGTGTTCCAACATCGTTCTGCAGAGCATGAGAAGGAGATCACCTACTTGAAGGAGGAACTTCAGAAAACTCGCATGATGAATGGTGAACTGAATGATAAGCTGACCAGATCTGATGTTCATACAGCAAGGAGGAACATAAGCTGGATGAATTTGTTGCCAAAATCACGATGTTAGAACATGAACAAAAGTTGTCCAAGCAGGTATGTGATGAAAAGGTTTTTATCATTGAGTCTCTACGTAATGAAATGTTTGTCTTGCAGAAAACTATAGATGAAAGGGAAACCGAGATTGTTGCACTCAAAAGAGAACTCGGTCGAGTGATGGAAGAACATGTAACGCTCAAGAGTTATTGTTCTACAATGGAGGAGAAACTCAGCAAGAGTGAGGAGATTGTCAAGATGATCAACAAGCCCAAGTCCTCATTTGCTGAAGTTCAGAGGCTGAGTCAACAAATTGGTACCTCAGACCAGAGTAAGAACGCTCCTAATCAGAAACTGAAAGGTAAAGTTGGCGAGCCGAGCACATCTCTGAGTAAGTCTGACCTGACTTTTGTCAAAGAAGGCTACAACCTTGAAGGTAAGAATGGTAAGCCTAATTCTACCACAACTCAGCATAAGAACTCTGGTAAGAACTTTGTACCTGTTTGTCACTATTGTGGTATCCGTGGTCATATTCGCCCTAAGTGTTATAGGATCCATAATGATATTTATACTGGTCGAATTGATGAATGGAGTCCACATGGTGTACCCTTGAAAGCACCTAAACTAAAGGTTGATGTGGTTAATCATGAACAAAAAAAGATTTGGGTTCCTAAAGACAGTAAGAACGTGTGTTTATCTTCTATACTTGCATTGAAATCCACCTCTAATTCTGATTGGTATTTTGACAGTGGTTGTTAGTCATATGACAGGTCTAAAATCTAACTTGATTAATATTTTGCCTGTTCCTTCTAGTTCTGTGACCTTTGGTGATGGTGTAAAGAATAGAGTTCTCGGTATAGGATGTTTGAATGTTCCTGGATTGCCCAAACTTCAAAATGTTCTTCTTGTTCAAAATTTGAAAGCGAATTTGCTGAGTGTGAGTCAATTATGTGATCAAGGCTTTTCTGTGAGTTTCACCTTGAATGAATGTTTGGTTTCGGATAGGAATAATAATTGTGTTCTTACATGGTCTAGATCGCATGATAATTGCTATTTGATTGATTATATGACTTTTGACTCATGTGATACGAGTTCTGGTATTGTTAGAGATTGTGATGCTGATAGGGATGAGAATGTTGTTGATCAATGGAGTACGTCTGACGGTTGTTCTTACACCGATCAGAATCTTGTGGATGAAACTTGTTGTTCAGAAAAGGTGTGGATGAAGCACATTTTTCTTAAATTTGGAACTGAGGTACAAGCCATTGACCTTTTCTTTGACCTTACTTATGCGGCTAATGTTTCCAAATATTCTGTTCAACATTCTCTTAATCGTACTAGCATGCTATGCCACTTTACTAGAAATTTGGTTGATGATGGATTAATTGTTCATAAATATGTTCCAGCACATAACCTTGATGCTCAAAGATTTATCTCTCTAAGGAAATCCTTAGGGATATGCATTCTCTGATTGCTTGCATGCCATTATATTATATTGTATTGTATATTAGTATATATATTATATTTGCATTGCGTGTATGCATATAGGGTATTATTTGCATTAGGCATGCCTTGCATTTTTGCATATATTTCACCACTAAGTCATAAATGAAGTTCTGACTCTTCTGAAAGCGGGTGAGATGTTGATTGTCTTTAATTGATGGCGTGTTCTTGCATACCTTGGAACAAATATATTTCTGTCAAAAAGAGCTGCCTTCACACAATGATCTAGAGCGATAGCTAGCACATGGTTCGTTTCCTTTGGGATCGACTGTGAAAAGAGCGTCATGGACAGAAAATGTTGTGAAGGGTGGTAGCTATTGACAACCACTGCACTTCATTGTGTGGTGTTTTTACTTGGAGTTATAAGGTGGTCATCTTCATAAAAAACGTAGTGCATAATGATTTAAAAAAAAA